GAAAATGACGCTATTCCATAAAATTGCACACCTTGCTAAGTCGTCAGTGAAGCGTGTGTGGTTAACCAACACACTAAGTTAGACTAAAATAGGTGGCAAAGGGTAGTTTGATGTTTATCATAGATCAATGGAGTGTGTGTGGTTAACCGACACATTGATTAGATGATAAATGACATCGATAGTGGCAAGTTTATTTGCATGGTTGTTCACACCTTGTTTGTGATCCTCGGTATCCCAATCACAAACTTGAAGGGCATAATCAAGATTTAAACATGTCATTGAAAAGTTCAATGAATCTCACAAGAATCTAGGAATTTCAAATCATTTAAAACTTAATATTTAATTTTGTTTTTCATGGTGGAAATTGGTAAATCATCATTTACGTACTTTCAAATATTTTGCAATTGGATTACGGCATCCCTCTTCCAAATTGGAAAATATTGTGTTGGGTGCTAGCCTTAATATTTCATTTGGGTATTATATTAAGGTTTCTTATCTAATCTAAACTTTGTCTTTCTTTTTCAGATATCTTCCAACACCGCTTCTGGCTCAAACCCTACCAACTATTTCTCCCTCATGAACTTGTGTGGGAGGGTCATCTTTGATGGTTCAAATTTCAATGATTGAATTCAGAACTTTAGGATGGTCACTCGCTACGAGGACAAGAAATATTTCATCGATAAAGTGCTCAAGGAGATTGATGAAGCAACTGCTACTCCTAAAGAAATTGCTGAATATTGAACTTATGAGAAGGACGCCACAAAGGTGTCGTGTATCATGTTAGCCACTATGACAGTTGAACTTCAAAAGTCCTATGAGGACTACTACCCTTTCGAGATGCACCAAGACTTAATGGAAAGATACCATCAAAGTGCTTGACAGGAAAGGTATGATATCATTGCCTCCATGATTACAACAAAAATGAAGGATGGAGAGTCCATCACGACCCACTTAGAAAAGATACAAAGGTTTGTGGACCACTTGTTGAAGTTGAATGTCAACTTTGATGAAGATCTGTCCATTGATATTATTCTACACTCTTTGCCTCCTTGTTATGATTAGTTTTGTATGACTTATCATATGAACAAGGAGGAGGTCACTCTAAGCAAGCTTCAAGGCCTATTGAGAATTGTTGAAAGTAGTTTGAAAGGAAAATTTGTTGTTCCTACTACTACTGTTGTTGCCGCTGTTCTGACAATTGGACATGAGAAAGGGAAGAAAATGAAGCCTCCTGCTAAGAGCCACAAGGGAAAGTCCCATTATGGATCCTCTTCGAGTGGGACCTAGGTTGGTCTTGCTACTCCCTCTTCCTACCAAAAGCAAGCAGAGTGCTTCTACTATCACGACAAAAGGCACTGGAAGCAAAGCTGCCTCAAATACTTGCAAGACATCAGGGATGGGAAGATAAAAACCACTAATGCAGCTATTTACACTATTCTGTCTAATAACTCATCACATGCTAATTCTTGGGTCCTTGATACAGGTTGTGGATTTCACATTTTTTCTGATTTGCAGAGACTAAAAAAAAGTAGGGATGTGGAGCACGGGAAGATAAACTTAATCATGAGGAATAGGAAAGTGTCGCTTGTCACCAAGATTGGAGTTTATTCTTTATTGCTTAGTTGTGGGTTACAATTAGATTTGAATAATTGTTGCTACTCGTCCGACATGGCGAGAAACGTTATTTCCTTTCATGGTTTGTATAAACAAGGTTTTAGATTTTCATTTGATAATGAAACTGGTTGTATTAATGTTTTTTATAATGGTATATTTTATTTTAAAGCATTGCCTTGTAATGGTATATATGAAACTGTGATGGTTGTAGACAACTTAGGAAATAATGTATTGCACATCGATTCGTCCAATGGTTTGGACAAGGAATCCATGTGGCATTGTCGTCTTCAACATGTCAACAAGAAGCACATAACCCAACTCCAAAACGATGGAGTCTTGGAGTCATTCAACTTGAAATTAACATGTCAACATGTCAACACTTGCCCATAGGTCATCTCATGTAAAATTAATTTTTTTTAAGATTTTTAAGAATATTTAATATGTTGAAAATAAAAATAAAAATAACTATAAATAAAATCTTTTTGGGTTTTTTTCTTTATGAATGCAGAAAGATAAAAACAAAAAATAATATATTTTTGGATTTTTCAGATATTTTATGTAACGACCCAAAAATTCATACCAAAAATTTCATTTTTAATTTAATAATAAAACCACAAGTGCCAACAATTCATTCAAAATATATCACATCAGAGTATCATTTCTAAAACATTATTTTATTTATCAGAGTAACATCCCAAGATGAATAAACAATGGTGTGTGCCATGCAATCACCCCGAGCTCTTCCCTCCGTTACCGGAGGTACTTGAAACCAAAACTGAAAACCATAAGCACGAAACATAGTAAGTTCCCCAACCTACCACATACCAAGCATTATCACATACTATAAGAACTGGGCCACACACGCTACATCAGGCCCCGCCTGGCTTCGAGCCCCGCTCGATATACATATGTGTTTTACTTTAGGCCTCGCCTGTCTTTGGGCCCCGCCCGCTAAAAGCATGCAAACATATAACCATAGCACATAACACATAAACTGAGCATACCTTACTGTATTACTATCCTAAGGCCTCGCCTGTCTTAGGCCTCGTCCCTGTCCTGTTACTAGTGAGCCGTGGAACCCCATCCAAGCTCCTGCTATTAGTGAGATACGGGCCTCCGCCCACACTCACCTTCCTCTTATATCGGGCCTCGCCCCTGCTCTACTACTAGTGAGATATGGAACCCCATCCACACTCCGCTAATAGTGGGGTACGGGACCTCGCCCACACCCACCTCCCTACCAGGCACATACAAGTATCACACAGACATCAAGTATAACTTATCATGCAAACATTCCTCGGGCACCCGCCCGACATCGGACCTTAATTTGGAATCACATACTAGTATACAGTGCCTAGGACTAACCCCCGGGTCTTCCTACTCATAAACTACATGGGTCGGCATTGTGGCTGTAGACCCGTTCACACAATGAGGAGACTCACCTCGCACTGCTGAAACCCTACTGGTACACTTCTGGCTGCTATCTGACAATGCCCGCACTGCTACTCCTCTAGCTCCCCAAACTATCAATACCACAATAATACTTAGCCCAATACAATAATCCTTCATATGGTAGAATGGCCATTCTACCCCTCCTACTCTAACTTGATACATATTCAAAGTCCTACATTAGGTAAGCTTCCCAAGCCCACTAGTGACCCACTAATGGCCAAATTTGCTACATTGGGTGCAATCCCTTAATGGGCCTTACCTTAAGCCTAATTATATATGTTGTGGCCCATATTAACTGACTCCTAATGGCTCACTATGGCCCAAAGGCCTAAAATCCAAAACACATCCCACACCAAGGCTCAAAACCCACAACGCCCAACTCTGCTGGGTACGCTGGGCGTACTCCAATGTATGCTAAGCGTACTGCCCTGCTAGTGAGTACGTTGGGCGTACCTGCATGTACGCTCAACGTAATCCCCCTGTTAAGACACTTTTCCATTAAGTGCTTGATACTCCACTCTGGAGGCTACCAACTCAGATCTAGGTCCTTACTGATGTCTTAAACCATAAAGTCACTAACTTGGTGACTTGCAGTCCACCAAACAAGCCCAAACTCAAAAGGTGACAACATGCTTTCATTCCAAGGGATAGATCTCATGCATGGAAATAAATGAGTCCTAAAGGTTGAAACTTTACTGCTTATGGGACTCATCTGACACCAAGGGTGGCAACCTTGGACCTAGAAGATGAGTTTTGACATAAAGGTCAAATCTTGGAACCAAAAAGACCCAAAAATTCCATTAACATAGATCTAAGCATACTTAAGGAAAGGTTCAGACTTGATACCTCATAATGGTCCGAAATGGAACAAAAATCTCAAATCTACAACTTCCTTTTCGATCCACCACCTTGCTAATTTCTTCTCTTGTTTTGAAATGGATTTACAACACCTAAATACTCACTTAATGGCCATCAAAGCTTCAATAACATTCACAGAGGGTTAGTGTTTCATAGTAGCTCTCTAGGGTGGAATGGAGGCCGAAACTTGAGGGTATAACATTCCTTATATAGTGCCATGCCCTTAAATTAGAGTTCCTGGACACTGAGCGGACGCTGGGCGTACGCCAAAAAGCTTCCACGTCTACCTCCTTTCATACGTTGGGTGTAACCCAACTTACACTGGGCGTACCCATGCGCCTCCTAGTTTTGCATGGCCCTTCTTTGCCAACTTTTCCATTGATGTGTCATAAATGACAACAACTTCAAAATGTTATAACTCCTTCATCCTAAGTTCGTTTCCGATGGACTTTATATACACGAAAAGGTGGCGAGAAGCCCTACGCTTATATAAACGCACCCCAGACCGGATCCTTCTCTAATAGAACTCAAAGCCCATAAATGACCAGAACACCCTTAGCCTTGGCTTCTGAAATCCTTAAATGAATATTTTAGAATAGGGCATTACATTTTATGCAAATGCAATGCAGAAAATAAAATGCAAACAGAAAAATAAAATTTGAAAAATTTAGCCTAAAAAATTGAAAATTAAAAATTTTAATAAAAAATGCAAAATTCTAAACTAAACTCCTCCCCAAGCTTAAAATGATGCAATGTCCTCAATGCTTAGAGAGGAATGAACATATCAATAAAGCTCATTCAAAAAAAAGTGCAACTAGGGATGAATGTACCCGATAAGTTTGTAGAAATATGATTTTGACGATGAATGTGGCAAAAAATCTAAATTCCAACAACTCTGTCGATCCTATGATTTCCCCAAGCTTGCATGGAAGTGTGACCATCTCTTTCTTGAATGCGTAGAAAAACTAAAAACTACTCATCGGGTTGCCCCCGGAAAGCCACCCATTTTTAAAGTCGTTGGCTTGACTTTGCCCAACCAAATTAACTAACTAGTGTGGTTGACACTTCTATGAAGCTCAACTCTTTTCCTTGTCAATCCAGATCCCTTCAAACTTCTTTCTGTTTCTGATCTTCATTTTCTTTCCAGAATTCATCTCCTTCTTCTCTTCAAATTTTATTCTTTTTAGATTTTTCTTTTCAGAAACTTGCTCAGCAAAAATCATTACTTTTTCTTGAATCATTTTTCCATAAATCTTCTTTTCTTCCTCCCCAAGCTTATTTATGATTAGCTCCATCTCAGCAACTAACTTCTCCTCCTTTACCCCAAGCTTTCCTTTTTCCAAATCTTTTGATATGGCATGTGAGTTTCTGCCTACAAATATTTCTTGCACAGAGACATTAGAAAACTCACAACATCCCTCAAATAAAGTACTACTAGTACCCAAATAATTAACTGAAACTTTATAAGAAGTATCAGAATCATTAATATTAAAGTTCACTACATCCCCATCAAATTCCATTGAAAGTGTACCAGGAAAAGCATCAATTTTTTTTTTTTAGCATTTTTCATAAAAGGTTTTCCCAGAATAATTTTAAAAAGTTTTCAAAGACAGAAAAAGGAAGGACATTGACTGAAGCTGCAAGGTTAAGCATGGAATTTGAAAAAGAAAGGTTCCCCAATTTAAAAGGAACTGAGAAAATCCCCGGATCCTTGCACTTTGGAGGTAAGCCCTTTTGCAAAATGGCAAAAATATTTTCACTAGCTTTGACAGTTTCATTAAATTTAATCTTTTTCTTAGAAATACTATATTTTTTAAAAACCTAGTATAAAGAGGGATGTGTTGGATAAAATCTAAAAGTGGAAGTGTTAGGATGAAAATCGTTAATGATCGTTTAGATTCAAAACAAGTGAAAGCAAGAACACAACGATGATCTGAATAATGTTGAATGGTTAAGTGTCATGCCTCAAAAGAACTCGACAAAGAATTGCTACTGTAGAGGCTTGATTAGGGTTACATAATAATTATCAGAGTTAACAAAAATACGATGGATGCATGCACCTTAAATACTCTAACCCTAGAATTAAATACGGGAGGACAGGCCCAACTCATCTACATAATAGACTAAACAAAAAGCCCAATGACGCAACATCTAATACCCAACAATCTCCCCCTTTGCATTAACTGAAGCAAGCAAACATCAATTCTGGATTCGCTTTGTACTTCAAAAACCTTCGACATTATGCTCAACAATGCTTTACGAACTTGGACATACCAACGAATCATGTCCGAGAAGCACTTCTTATCTCCTTCACTGTTGCCCCTGTATTTGCTAACAAGATCCAACATAAACTCAACATAAGATGTGGTGTATAAGTGTTTGTCTGGGAGGAGGAAACAAGTTTTGCGATAGTCACCATCATTCTTATCCCTTGCTTGAAAGACAACATACCAACCTTCCTTGTAGATTTTCCTAAGCATCGAATTTTCAAATCCCTTAGGAGCTTCTTTAGGTACTGTAGTAGGCTTCTTTCGTAACATTGCAAATATCTCTACATCCATAATGCCCACCTCTTGGATATACGAAATAATCATAAGCTTAAGGTGATGGATGATAGGTTAGTATTTCTTGCGTCTCGCAACAAAAAATTGTAGAGAACAATCTAGTCATAAGGATTGATACACGATAGGATTGCGAGAGTGAAATCCTGAAATTGACTCACAAAGCCTCTGACAACTTTGAATTTGGCGTTTAGAAAACTGTCAGTCTCAATTGGTCCGGTTACCTTAACTATCTTGATTTTGCTGGCACTCCAAGTTTCGTATTGCGGCCTCATGTGCTTAAGATTAAATTAAAAAAGAAGTTGATCAGCACCATTATCATAGACGGGAACACTCACAACCTTTATGAAAGAACAAAACTTGAAGGCTTTAGATGTAACTGGAAGATCCAGTTGCGAGTCCTGAGTATCCGGAGGTTGAACGATACATCCGGTTCTTACCAATACTGAGTCAGTGAATCAACAGCTTGACTCTGAATCCTTTTTAACATCCAAAATAGGAAACAAGATTTTCCTGCTTTCAAGAGCGGACCTTGCTTCTTTTTCAGCTTTCTCCATGGCTTCATCCTCTCTGACAATTAATTGATTGTCATCCAGTTCAGCCTCACGAGCCTTTCGCCTTTTGAGTTCTTCTTCATCAAGTTCTTCTTCGTCGCTGTTATCAACTATGGGCTCCGCAGAAAAAATCTTGTCTTTGTCGTTAGGCTCAGAGTCACTCTTAATGCTTGGCTTGACTGAAGTGGTTGGCTTTGCTAAAGTTGTTGAAGGCTTTTTCGGTTGATCTCCCCCTTGTTTCGAAATAACAGAAGGATCTGGAAAACCCTCCAAGAGATGTACCACAGTGAACACAGGTATTAGATTTTCAACAAGATGTTTCCGAAGAGTAATTGTTATCAATGGGTACCTGGTCTTTATAATGTCTGAGAGGAGGCCATTAACATTAGATATGCAACTTTTCATTATTGCCATCTCAGTGATCAGATCCTGGATTTGTTTCCCAACATGTTCGAGCTTAACAATGAGAACTTTAACTTTTTTAGTTTGAATGGAAAAGGGGACCATTATCTTTCTTTCCATGGCGAGATCATCCTGATGCTTAGAGATTTGAAAAGAAATGGATGATTTGAACTCTTCGTGATCAGTGGTGATTCTAGTTAGCTCTCATTGTATTGGTCTCAAAAGAAGACTGGAAGTTGTTCATAAATGTGGTAGCATCATAAATTAGTTTATTGAATATTTTGTTCGTTTCGTTACAGACTGAGGTAGAGGCATTCACAACATTGTTCATCTTTTCAAGATTAGATGAATGTTCCTTGGTGAGGGTTTGAATAATGGAATTAATGGAGGCTTATGAGTACTTATCAGAATAGGAAGGTTCGGAAGCCTGAAGCAGAGTATCAAGCTTTACATTTATTGCCTTTAATTGTCCCTTTGTAACCGGGGTCTCATAATCACTTCCGTTGCGAATAGTGAATGGGCTAAAAGTAAACCTTGCTAACTCATCTTCATCATTCCCATAGATCATATCAGGATCATCTTAGTGTATTGGGGAAATGGGTGGAGAGACATGAGATAATTGAAAGCCTGAAGTTTTAGCCCCCGCATCAGATGCGTTGACTGAAACAGCAGGTTCTCCTTAATTTGTTGGAGGAACAGTGGAATCAGTGTATAAAGGTGTAGATAAGGGAATGGTGCTTTGAGGTTGAGATGAACCAGGTGGAGGGCATGGTGCAACGGTGATTGTTGTAGTGGTGGTTTTAGGAGAAGGAGGAGGAGATGAAACAAAAGCATTATTAGTTTGAGTTAACTTAGGATTTGATATTACATCTTTGTTACGAGCAGACCCTTCCTCCTCATTATAAATGGGTTGTTCTTATTCGTTATGATAATTAGATTGAGTTTCAGACCCCCAAACATTCAATTTTTCTTGGAGTGGGGGACTTGTGCTTGCGAGCAGGTTGCTTTCGCCTTTTAGGAGCAGCAGTTAAGGGGTAGATATTGCCTTTCGCTTTGTAGGTGGTTTCACACCTGTTGAAGGTCCTTCCTTATCACTTGTTCTCTTTTATCCCGTCTTCGCACCTTTTTGTCCCACCTTCTTGGGTTTTTCTGGCTCAGCTATAATTGCTTGCATTTCAAGAGTTAAGGGACGAAACCCCGAAGCATTTAGTTTCCTATATCTCTCCAAGATTTTGCTAGACCCAGGCACATCACGAAACATTGCCTCTGGAATTAAGCCAATGAAATAGAACTTTGAAGAATCAGAAACGATAATACCAGTGGTGTGAAAGGTAGAGATTGAATCCATCATTGCATCTTGCATCAGTGGGACGTAAAGATTCTCAATGGAGCTTTGGACAAAGATGGATCAAAAACGTACACAGGAGATTTCACTGTGACGTGAGGTAGAGAGGGTGCTCTGAAAAATTTGAGCCCATAAAACAGACCCATAATCAACATTCAAACCTGTGCAGAGACCATAGTGAATCGCCATGAACATCATACTGTCATTGTCAGACCCAATCACTCTTTCATAAAAACCTTTGAATAGTAAAGTGAAAAGACCATTCCATTGAGGAGGCGTATTTGGTTTCCTCAATTTTAAGACGACGCTTAGAGTTTCTTTGTATGTCATTTGGTAAACATCTCTAGAAGGTCCGTACCAGACACCATTTCTGGGTTGATCATGTCGTTTGTGTGTGGAAGCCTTAAAAGTGAACAAAATTGATTTTTGGTGATGGAAGTTGTGTGGTTGTGGATTTCAAAAGTAATACTCTATTCTTCCTTGATATAATTGGCAGAAGAGTAAGCTTTAGAGAAGATCTACATAGGAACATTCTCTATCTTGGTGAGTGCAACATTCAATGGAGAATACTTGAGACATTCAACGATCAGAAACATAAAACTAGCGTACTTGCACGACTCGATATCGATCACCAAGTTTTGGTTACTTGATGGTTAGTAGGGAGGAGTGTGCAGTTTGATCTTGAACAAAGACATTTTCAAAAGAGCCCTCCATTGTTGAAGCTTGAGAAAGATGAATATGAACAGGAAAATGCTATGATCGATGGAAATCTTTGAGAGGATTTCTGAGTGGTAAAGAATGAAGAGTCGACAAAATCAATAAATACGGTTTGATTTGTGAGAGAAATCTAGAGAGAGAATACATCAGTTATTGTAACGTTACCTGAAAAAGCGCGACTTGACAACTGTAGATGTCAGAACCATACGTCATACAACGGTAAAGTAGATGTCCTTTCAAAATTTCATGCGCCCATTTGAATTCTTATCTACAGGAATTGACGCGTCAGCATTGCCCCTTTCACAGTTTTAATTCACCAGTCTCTTATGAATACGAATTTCGTTTTAACATAACATAATTTGAATTGCGAACCTGAAAATAAATGTAAGTACCACGAACCAGACTTTTTGAAAATCACAAAGATTTTTATGCAAGAGTATCAAAGATAAAGAAATAAAACTACACTTTTATGTGGGATTTTGGTGATGTATGAATAAAGACATGAAACTGTGGATCCCCGAGCTCTTCCTTCAAAGTCAAGAGAGACTAAGAAGTGTCTGTGTGGTTTCCCATTGAAATACGATCAAGTGTGTGATAAGAAACATTGAAAGGCATATTTTAGTAGGCTTATAAGGTGGCTTCATCTAAAAAAACTAGATTTTATGGGAAGAAGTGTCTTGAGATAAGAACATGTCATAAAAGATCTCACAAAAGAAAAAGAGATTTCTTGGCACAAACCACAAAAGCGGCTTTTGTTAATTCCATGATGAAAATCTTGAATGTTTAATTGGTCACTGTCAATTCATTTCAGTGTGTTGGATTTTAGGTTTCACTCAGTTCGTGGCGGACGAAGCTAAGATCATTAACACAAATGTTGTGTAACCACAAACCTCAGTGGTATTGCTGAGAGTCTCAGGGGTTATATTTATGAGTGCGAAGGCAGTGGAGAAGTGTGAATGTGGTTCTATGTACATCTGCTATATGAAAGTGACCAAGCAAATAACTCTTAACTCAAAATGAGAAGAGTAAGGTAGCTTATGACTAATGTGAATTTAATAGCCTGGTTGGGAAGAAATGATTGGTAGAATCGGTTCATTAAGGCTTCACATCAAGTCTATTGAGGCTTCGGATAACATCCAACAACATGCTTCTAGGGACACTTAGCTAATACATAGATAAAGAGATTTATACTTGCCCCATCACACGAATTGAGATATGATATGAATCTATGCATCCATGATATTCTTAAGATATTTTGGTGTTTTGGAGATTTGTGAAAATAAAAGAAATAAAAATAAACACAAGGAAAATATTTTTGTATTTTGAGATTTTCTGAAAAGAATTAGGAACAGAAAAGATTAAAAAAATAAAATAAAGATAAGAAATAATGTACATAAAGTACAAAAGGATATGGAAAGTCTGAACCACGAATGAACAGTTGACTACAAATTACTGCGAGCGTTCGCACCGATTCGTAGTGTTAAAGTAGATTGCGAATGAACAGTGGACTACGAACTACTACGAACGTTCGCACCGATTCGTAGTGCAATCATTATGTATGCGAAAGTGGTTTTAGAACATATTCAGCTTCTATCATTCCTAGGTCTTAAGGAATTCTATTGAAGGTTGTTTCTGGAAAGGCCTTTGTGAATATGTCAGCTAACTGATTAGAGGATCTTACGAAGTATATTTTGACATTTCCATCTTCTACATGATCCTTGATGAAGTGATACCTCAGTGCTATGTGTTTAGTCTTTGAGTGTTGCATTGGGTTGTGACAAATGCGAATGGCACTTTCAGAGTCACAATATACTAGGATTCGTTTCATGCTTAAGCCATAATCAAAAAGTTGACTTTGAATCCAAATGACTTGGGATGTATATGAGGCAGCAAATATATATTCAGCTTTAGTTGTTGACAAGGATACACACATTTTCTTCTTGGATTGCCAACTAAAAAGTTTGCCATCAAGAAATTAAAATCCTCCAGTTGTGCTCTTTCTATCTAATCCACATCCCCCAAGGTCAGCATCCCAAAACGCTTGTATAAAGAAGCCTAAGTTCATAGGATACCATATGCCAAGTGATGAGGTTCTTTTCAAGTATCTGAAGATATTCCTGACGGCCACCATGTGAGGTTCGCAGGGATTTGCTAGGAACCTAGCACAGTAACAAACAGAAAAAAAATGTCTGGTCTACTAGCTGTTAGAAACATTAATGATCCTATCACCTGACGATAAATGGTCATATCATCAGCTGGTTTTTCCAGATATGGTGTCTGTTTCGTTCCGAATGCCATTGGAACCTTCGCTTTAGAGTCTCCCACCATGCCAAACTTAGTAAGAAAAGTCCTCATATATGCTTCCTGATTTATGAAAATGCCCTTCGGTCCCTGTCTTATATTCAATCCAAGGAAAAAGTTAATTAGACCAATGTATCTCATCTCAAATTTAGTTTCAAATCAACTTTTGGAATTCACTTGTTAGACTAGGATTCGTAGAACCGAAAATGATGTCATCAACATAAATTTGGACGATCATCAAGTGGTCATCCTCTTTCTTGTGAAAGAAGGTTGGGTCAACCGAACCGTGATTAAATTTAGACATTTTAAGGAAACGAGTGAGAGTTTCGTACCAGGGTCTTGGAGCTTGCTTCAGACCATAAACTTCCTTGTCTAAGATGTAGCAGTGATTGTGATACTTTATTGTTTATGAATCCATGTGGTTGTTCGATGTATACAATCTCTTCTAATTCTCCATTCAAGAATGTGCATTTAACATCCATCTGAAACACCTCGAAGTTCTTGTATGTTGCGTATTCCAAGAAGATGTGAACAGATTCGAACCTTGCAACAAGTGCAAAGATTTCTTCATAGTTGATTCCTTCTTCCTGAAAATACCCCTTAACCATGAGTCTTTCCTTGTTTCTTATAACATTCCCTTCTTTATCCAATTTGTTGAGAAACACCCATTTCAAACCTACAACTGATGCATCTGGTGGAGTTGGAATTAGCCTCTAAACTTTGTTTCGTTCAGACATACACATCGACCAACTTCTCGGCCGATGAACTCTCCCATATAGCCAAGAAATGCTCACTCTTGGTCAATCGATCCACGATGACCCAAATGACATCAAACCCCTTCGTCGTCCTCGGCAGCTTGGTAATAAAGTACATCGTAATTTGTTCCCATTTCCACATGGGAATCTCTAGGGGCTGCAACTTGCCATGCGGCCTCTGATGCTCGGCCTTAACCATCCTACAGGTCAAGGACCTCTCGACATACCAAGCGATTTCTCGCTTCATGCACGGCCACCAGTAGCTCAAACTCAAATCCCGATACATTTTGGTCGCCCTGGGTGAATAGAGAAGTGAGACTTATGAGCCTACTCCATGACTATCTGTCTGACTCCACCAGACATCGGAACCCATACCCGACTGCATCGGGTCAACAAGCCCCGACTATCCTGCACAAACTGGGCGTTCTCGCCCCTGATCCTATCCAGTTTCCAGTTCTCTGGTCGCATGCCCTTCACTTGAGCATCTCTGATCAAACTCACCAGAGGAGAATCCACCTATATCCTCATACATACTGCTGGGGTGGAAGACCCAGCTGATTTATGGCTCAAAGCATCCACAACCACATTCGCTTTACCAGGGTGGTAAAGGATCTCACAATCATAGTCCTTGACTACATCCAGCCACCTGCGCTACCTCATGTTCAGGTTCGGCTGATCCATGATATGCCTCAAGCTCTTGTGATCTGTGTATATGGTACATCGGACCCCATAAAGGTAATGCCTCCATATCTTAAGGGAAAACACCACTGCCCCCAGCTCCAAGTCATACGTAAAGGTATCTCATCTCATGCGACTTCAACTGTTGCGACGCATAAGCTATCACTCGCCCTCTCTGCAAGAGGACCGCCCCCAAACCTGTGATGGATGCATCACAGAACACTACAAAATCCTAAACTCCCTCCGGGAGCGTCAAGACTGGGGCCTCGCACAATTGCTGCCGAAGGGTCTCGAACGCCTTCTACTGCTCAGGGCCTAATCGGAAATCCACCCCCCTTCCTCTTCAGACAAGTGCGGGGTACCGCAATCTTGGATAAATCCAGAATGAATCTCCGGTAGTACCCTGCCAATCCTAAAAAGCTCCTGATGTCTGAGGGAGATTTCGGAACCTCCCACTACATGACT